CTGAATCATCACAGTTTTTTGTTTTACCTGTGTTATTACTTTTTACCTATAAGATGCTCTTAGTTTTGGTTGCATTCTTATCCTTGACCTAAAGACCTGACACTGTGTATATTTGTCACATTGGCATGGAAGTGAGTTTTGTGAAAAGTTGTTATTCTCAGTGAGGAATACAAATTCTCTCAAACTAACCCACTGTCCATTTGCAGTAGTGACCCATGAGAACTTTGTCATTGTTTTTGAGCCCACAGCTGCTTTTGTCTGGTGTCGGCCTCTCTTACAGTCCCAGGGGGGCCTCGTGGTATGGTCCTCTTATCTTGCAGTTCCTGATTTGCCAGAAGTCATTCCATGCAGGTGGTCCTTGTTGCCCTTGTGATATGAAAGCCATATAAGAGTTAGCCAAGTCTAAACAGCTGCTTTTGGAAGCAGCTCTTTGTCTTACTGTTCGTCTTGAGGTACACAGAGCTGAGATAGCCTGCCCAGGGTCATACAGCTGGTGAGTGGCAGGACTGGGCTCTGGACGGAAGGCAGTCTGTCAGCACCACTTGTTGGGTGGAGTGCCTGAGGCGTGGGCCTCCATAGTAACCTTTCTGAAATGCCCCATGCAACTGTAGGTATTTCCTGGGGCTGTGGTTCCTACAGTAAGGTCTGCTGTATAGCTGCAAGACAGCAGCACATGTATGGGTTCAGTGAGCAGCAGTGGCCTAGAAGGAAGAAACTGGAGAGGAATGCAAACTGCATCTGCCTGTAAGACTTTGATGGGCTCTTACTTGTGCCTGCTGTTCTGTCTTCTTTAGCCCACACCTGGCCCTCACAGTGATGCCAGCAGTGGAGAGTAGTGGTTCCAAGATCCAGTTGCCAAACACTGGCATGGATCCAAAGCCTGAGTTCTTTCTATACTTTGAAGATTTTCTTCAGATTTCGGGTCACTAGGATTTACCAGAAGACAAAATGATTTGGGCCTCTAGAGGTGAACAGGCCCTGGCCCTGCTGTTGAGATCTCACTAGTGGGGTCCACTTGGGAGGGAGGCTAGTTGGTGCCCAGTGCTACCACCACCTCCCAACCTTTGGAGTTCCCTATCCCGAAAGCCCTGAGATGGTGCATCTGGGAGGCTGGAGGAGCACGTCCTCTTCAATGGGCAGTCTCCTGTGTCTGCACTCTTGACCCTAGAAATGTAATATGTGAATAGCTACTTGGACCCTCAGAGCAGGTGCCAGTTCTGGGGAGGGTATGGGAAACGTGGGCTTTATTTCACTATGACTGCTGCTCTTTTAGGGAGGGCTTAGGTTAAAGGGGTGTGAGTGTGAGTGTGTGTGTGGGTGTTGTTCAGCGTCCAGGAATCTCTAGGGCTGCAAAAGGGTAGGCCTGCTTACCCTAAGGGCTGCTTATCCTAAGGACGGTGAGGAGGGCAGCAGGTTGGAAAAGGCTGAGCTCCCTCTGTGGCCTGAGTAGAACAATCCCTAGGGCAGTTTTATGTTTTGTATATTTATCTTCTCCACAGGTGAGGGAAGTAGGCCTTTTAGGTGGACCTCACTTCTCAATTATTTCTCTAAATGTTTCATGTTAGTTTAAATGTGACCCCTTTTTACCCTACTGAGAGTGGGCCATGGGAGGATGCTGGTTAATTATTTGGGTGGAAAAAATAAGGCAAGTGGTGTATTTTAAAACCAGGCAGAGGGCCCTGGGAGTAGCAGGGTGATTTCAGAGAGTGAGATCTCTGTCCCAGTGCATGCCTAGGACGCTCTGACTTCACAGCATTCATGAGGATTTAGGATGGCGCCGTCCATTTGGGTAGCAGCTGCTGTGCGTCCACTGAACAGAGCCTGCTGTCACAGGAGCTTCACCTTCAATGGGCCGTAGTGGTGTTTCGGAGGCAACAGCCGTGGCAGCAGAGCAGGGATTGCAAGGTTTCAGAGCAGTGTCTTTCTTGGGCTCATTTACCTTCCCCTGGCTTGGAAAGAGCATGCTGTCCCTTTAAGACAGTCCTCCTTTGTATGTGCTGACTGCAACCCATTTCAGCTCTGCTTTCTGCCGACTGTTAAAATCTGCAAAGCAACATTTAAATAAATAAATAAATGAAAGCTTCCCTTGTGTGGCTTTTCTATTCACAGTGAGCACAATGGCCCCTTGTTGTTTTTTGTCACTTTAATCCCCTTCATTAAATTGGAACCCTGGAAAGGAAGGGTGAGGGGACTGATGCTGGACCATCCGTCGGACTCCCAGCCAGACACCTTGCAGATTAACCTTTGTGGGCATGGATTCCTGGGTCCTCAAGGAGGCACTGGGCAGAGGGGTGGGTGGTGATGTATTGAGACAGCTCCCTCTCTGATCCATTGCCATTGTACTCAGGCTGGCGATAGGGACAACCTGCTGCCCTCCCCACCGTCCATTCTTTTAGAGAAAGGGTTTCACTGCCTCCCTGGCACAGAAGTGTGGCTGCAGCACGTGGCAGTGGGGGAGGGTGCAGTTGTTTGTCACTTTGCCATCTGGCCTATCCTAGCCCAGCCGCTCTTGATCTGCACAGATAGGCTTGCTTCTAGGCCTTGGTGCAGAGTGGATGTGGTCACCGAGTGCCTTTCCCACCTGCTACCTTCCAGCATCTCTGGATTGGCAGCTGAAGTCCTAGGAGTCAGCCATACCTCCAGCACCCCAGCAACAGTGCTAATTCTTGGTTCTGTCAAATGAAACCAAGCCTCTTGTCATTGAAATTTTTTTTTCTCATGGGCAGCTTAAGAATGAAGCTTAGAATAAAGGCTTGAATAAAGATTTGAGCTGGGCATGGTGGCTCACACCTATATTCCCAGCACTCAGGAGGCTGAGACAGGAGGATTGTCATGATTTCAGGACAGCCTGGGCTACATAGTTCAAGGGTGGTTTGAACTACATCACAAGACCCTGTCTCAAAAAAAAGATGTTGCATTGATTTGTCGAATCAAAAGGGAAGCAGCATTGTAACAATGTTACTTAAGTATGAGATTAAGAAGTAATTTAGAAATCACGTTATTAATGTCAGGATCCTGGATCAAAATAAACAAGAATAAATTTCTCGCTTATTCTAACTGTAAGTTGGCTAAAAGCCTTTTCTGTCTGATTGCAAGGACACAGAGGCCCGTCTTTTAGTAACCATGGATTAATGGTTCTATCTTTCAAACTGTGTAGTATATGTGTGTGTTTATTTTAAAGCAAGTGTTCAGGGGCTCATATGCCTCCTTTCTCCATTCCTAGACCTGTTCCTAAAATGGGTGCTCTTAGGGAACTCTTTGGTTTTAAATCTGGTAGGTCCTGCCAAGTTTTTATGTCACTGATAATTTTGTCAGAATTAAAAATTATCTCCTGACTTCCTCTGACCATGGACAAGGATACAACTTATATCACTTTGTTGTTTCTTTTTTTGATAATTTATCACATTTTTGGTTCCTTTATTTTCACCTTTGAAATTTCCCTAGTGTTGCCTTAGTTCTTGCTCCAGGGTCTGTACCCACCCTTCTACCTCCTGTTGGACTCCTGTTTGTCTCAGTTTGCAATCCTCCCCTTTAACGTTTGTCAGCTCCTCCTTCATGCCAATATCACAGTCAATAAAAGTTAAATTTTTTTGTTTGTTTTTTGAGACAGAGTTTCACTATGCAGTCAGGCTGGCCTTGAGCTCACTTTGTAGTCCAGGCTGGCTTGCAGTCCTCCTGCCTCTGCATCCCAAATGCCAGGAAAAGTAACTTTTGTTGTTTAACCCAGGTCAATCTTTTGTGCTTTGTCTATAGGTTGATTCTGAAAGTTAACAGCCCTCAAATAGCATCCTGACAGGAATATACCTTAACCCAAGAGCCAGGTGGGCCCTGCCCATCCAGGTGGTCTGCTGGAAGCTTCACAGGGCAGTATCCTGCAGCCTCTAAAGTAGAGGAGTGCTTGCCATAGGACTCAGTGCTCCAGTGGCTGTGAAGTTTATTTAGGGCCTTAAGGAAACTAAAGTGACATAACAGAAAATATCAATGTATTTCACGTGTTGTGAGATGGTGTTTTTCATAATTTTGTATATGGGGAAACTGCACTATGATGTAAAGTGCGTTTCTTACTGTGCATTTGGAGAAGTTTAAAGGACACTTTATTGGATGGGAAGGGAGATCTGGTGAAGAGGGAGCCGGCTGTGGCATGGAGCTCACTGCCTCAGCTGCAGGCTCCATCGTAGCTCTTGTGCCTACTCTCACCTGTTGTCTGAAGTAATCTTCATGAAATATCTGAGGATGTAGCTGCTGTCATGGCAGATTAAGCCTCAGTGCCACAGGCAGTGTGTGCCAGCTGTGCCCTTGAACAGAGGAATCCTTCCAACTTGGGGCTGCCTGTGGGATACGATGCAATTCACAAATGCAGTTTTGTTTCCTAGTAGCCCCTGTGGGACAATTAAAATAATATAGCTGACTAATCAAGTTACTATCCTATCAGTGTAAAATATTATTGAAGACGTGTTATTTATTTTATAAAGACAGTGCATCTCAAGGTGGGTGTGCAGATTCTGCTTCCCTCTTTATCCCTGAGGCAGCTGAGATTGAATCAGCAGCAGCCTGAAGTCTTCCAGCTAGAAGGACAAACATGGCCTTGCAGTCAGCCAGAGCCCACTGTTGTCATCTATAGCCAGCCTAACTTAACCCTCAGCAGTCTTCTTCTCTTTTCCTTTCCTAGCATTCGTTTCTCAGAATTTTTCTGTGTACCTGAGGGCCCTTTCTTTAGCAAACCTGGTGAGAATTGGAGCCAGAATGATTCCTAGCAGTAGGTCATTTCTGTTTTTTGTTTTGTTTTGTTTTTCTTCCAGTACCAGGAATCAAACTCATGACCTTGCACTTGCCAGGCAAGCGCTTTGCCGCTGAGCTAAATCCCCAGCCCTGCAGTAGGTCATTTCTAAAGCTGGCTTCAGTCTTCCTTCCTGATATCTGTGTCCCTTTGTGTTTCTGGATTTTTCTTTATTTTTGGTGAGATAAAGGCTCTCTTAGTAACATTTGCCTTCTCTTTACAGTTCCTAGTGACCTTACTGCAGAAGAGCGTCAAGAGCTGGAGAACATCCGGCGGAGAAAGCAGGAGCTGCTGGCTGACATTCAGGTAGGAGGACATGGCGAGTCTGACTGAAGTAGAAACAGCTGCAATACACTGTTTATGTGCAGACACTAGAATGTCTTCTAGAGGCATTTTGGACCTGCATTCACCTTTGCAAGTCGAAAGGCAAGAAAGTGAGATCTCAGAGATGTGAAACAATTTGTGAAGTTCACCCTACTGCAGGTTGTTGGACCTTGACAGACCCTGAGCAGAGTCCTCACTGCTGTTTCCAGGTTCCTGGTCCCCTGTGCAGGTCTGGCTCTGCCACTGTCCTGTGAGGTGATTTGAGAGAGGAGTTTTGTTCTGTGGACTTTAGGTTCTTCCTTCTCGGATAAGAGTGAAAACACCCTCACAGCTTGATATGTGGATTGAATGAGCTGATATTTATGAAGACTTAGTATAGTTTCTGGCTCCTAGAGATGCTTAGTCAGTGACAGTAATTTTATTGTTTCTCCAAGTTATTTTTTTATACCTGCCAAGCTTTATAGGAAATAAGACACAGAAGCCACATACTAAATTATTGTAGCCCTGAGACGGTAAAGGTTACTCTTTCAGAAATTTTTGTAAAACCGTAGGAGTCAGGGAGGGCCTGAAATCCTGAGCTGCTGAGTGTGAAAGACTGACTTACTGGAGTGCCAGTTTAAGAACAGTTTCATAGTTTGCCCTGATTCCTTGGTTCCTTGTTCACTGGTAGATGCTGGAAAGTGGAGCAAGTCTCACTCACGCCCTCTCACTTTTACAGTCCCTCATTTCAAGGCTGGCTGAAGGGAAAGGGAAGGTGGTGGCCAACAGTGGATTTGGTCAGACATGCCCTTTACCACTCCCGTGCCTAAGTGGGTAGGAGAGTGTCCCTTCTGGCCTTCTGTCCCGCTTGTGTTTGGTGAGTCACCGGTATGTTAAGAAAGACTGGGTTGAAGCAGCCATTCCTCAGTGAAGATACGATTTTACACAGTGTATGTTCATATAAGCGCCTTTACTTTTTTTTTTTTTTTTTTTGAGACAGGGTCTCGCTATGCAGTTCAGGCTGGCCTTGAGCTCACTTTATAGCCCAGGCTGGTCTTGAACTCACAAGGATCCTCCTGCCTCAGCCTCCCGAGTGCTGGGATTACAGGTGTGCACCACCATGCCCGGCTCATAAGCTCATTTCCAAGACCATGGATTCTGAGGCCAGGAGCTACCTTTTCCCTCTTGGTATCCCTCCAAGACTTACTCTTTCCTAGGAAGGCAGTCAATATTTGTTGAATACATAAATTTTCCCAGTCTTTTGATTTCTTTTTGTTTCCTAATTTTGTTTCACTCTGCTGTGCTTTATGTTGTCTTGGGTGGAGGGAGTTATATGAGGCTTTGGACATATCCCATTGGCCTGTGTCTCCCCTCTGGGTAACTCTGGACCATCTCCTTGCAGAGGCTAAAGGACGAGATAGCAGAAGTTGCTAATGAAATTGAAAGCCTTGGATCCACAGAGGAAAGGTGAGTCTGCCCTGCTGCTGGGGGCCTCAAGCTGTGATTCCTTGGTGTGCCTAGCCTTTCCTCACACAGACTTGGCCCCATGAGGAAAGTGGGATTTCCTACCTGCAGTCCTGGTGAGTGCACATAGCCTCACCCTTTGTTGCCAGCCTCCATGCAAGCTGAGGAGTACAGATGCTTTGCACTTTGTAGAATGGAACTAGAGAATTTCAGGGGCCCCAGAAAGCCTTAAAGTGCTCTAAAGTTTCTGTGTGAAGTACTGTTTCTTGTCCAGTCTTTGCATTACAAAGTTTCTGTTTTTCCTTTAACTAAAAGAAAAGTTTAGTGTACGCTACTAATTGAATTTCAGAAGGCTGGTGTGCCCAGTTATGTGTGGGTACCTTTTTTACCTTATTAGCACATCCTTAATACTAAAGGGAAGATAATTATAATTATAGAAATTAAATTATAGTGTAAAATGACAAAAACTCTGCATGTGTTTTATGACATAAAGCATTAGTGACTTTGAGAGTTTAGTTTTGAATGGGGTTCCCAGACCGTTTCCTAAGTGCCTAATGTGATAAATAGGCTGTTTCCAGTATACTCCATGTCTGTTTTTCTAAGCCTAAATCTTCCTGTCTGGCTTTTTGATTTGTTGTTTTAAACTCCTGTGGGTGGTGCCGTTAGGGACGAGTGAGACTGTGTGTTCCAGCTCATTGCTTCTATTCTCTGAATTGTCATCTTGAATTTTGGGGTTACAGCTTTCATACTTTCATTAAAAAATCATAGTGTACAAGAAATGGGTAAATTAGAGTTCATCAAAGTTTAAAACTTCCGTTTTTATAATGGATAACTGTTAAAAAGGAAATGAATAGGCAAACTACAGGATAGGAGAAAATATCTGTAATACATATATCTGAAAAAGGACCTGTGTCCAGATGGATGTCAAAAAAATACATGTAGTTCAGTAATTAAAAAGAATGCCCAAACAGGGCTGGGGATTTAGCTCAGCAGCAAAAGCGCCTGCCTGGCAAGCGCAAGGTCATGAGTTCGGTTCCCAGTACCAGAGAAAAACCAAAAAAAAAAGAATGCCCAAACAGAAGATGGACAAAACCCTAAACAGGCACTTTGCACAAAAAGCTGTATGTATAATAGACTCATGAAAAATGCTCATCATCATTAGGAATAAAGGGGTGTGACGTAAAACTGCCTAGAGATGTGACCTTACACCCACTAGGACGGCTGAAATGAAAAAGATTGAGGGTATGTGGTGTTAGCAAGTGCTAACCAGAATAAGAGAGTGTAACCAGTTGGGAAACCAGTTTGTCAATTTGTATGTTAAACACAAATGCTGGCCGATTCCTACCAATTCAACACCCACATATTTATCATGTAGATAAATGTAAAAATGAACACATATTTCCAAAAAGACTTGTACAAGAATACTTACAGCATTCTCATTTTGAAATAGCCCAAAACTAGAAAAAGCCTAAATACTTACTGACAGGTGAGTGATGGACAGGCAGAGCTAGCACACTATGACTTGGGAATATGGAGGAGTAAATTCCTTGCCTGCAGCAATGTGGATGGGTCTCATGAACATTGCATTGATTTGGAGAAGCCATAGGAAAGCCACACTTGCAGTTCATGGGGTTCTGACACAGAAGAAACCAAGCTGCAGAGGTAGAAATCATAGCAGTGGCTGCCTCATGATGGCAGGGGGAGGGAAGGCCAACCAGAAAGAGACATGAGGGAACCTAGAGAGAAGATAGGAGCAAGTTTTAATCAGAGTGGTAGTCACAAGGGCATTTGTCAAAACCATGGAATGCACACTTAAGATATGTGCATTGTGTTGAATATAATCTGTACCTGAATTTTTAAAAGAAAAAATGGCCCTTTTCTGATTCTAAAAGTAACACACATTTATTGCAATAAGTTGGTAAAATAAAAGCATGAAGAAAAAAATTTCCCATAATCAGTTATCCAGAGAGTGTTTGGTATATTTTCTTTCTATATGTACACACACACATGCAGGATTTAGTGTACTGTTTGCTTGATTAAACTTCTGAGGGCATCAAGAGCACCCAGGAAGCTGTCAGGAGCATGAGCAGCCAGTCAGCTAGAACACCCAGTTAGCAAATTTATCAAAACTGGAGCTTTCATTAGCTGCATATGAAGGTGTAGGTCAGGCAGCTGTAATTTTGTTATTTGTGTTTTTAAATTTAGAACTTAAAATGGTTTTCTAATATGGAAAGTCCTGAATGGGAGCTGTTCTGCAGAACTCTGAGTGTCAGCACAGATAGGACTTGTTAGTCAGATAGAAGTTATAGCCATTTTGATTTTTCCACAAGGCCATTGTCTTATGGCCTGATGCTTCATGCCACCATTTTGTAAAACTGACCCTAAATACTATTTAATCAAATAGAAATGATGTGCTTACACTGCAATCTTTGTAAAGTTCAGAGGCACCAGTTAGTTAAGGTGACACAATAGCAGTATTACGGCTATTGTTTTGGGATCCTTGTCAAGATGACACATATATGGAAAGTGAGAAAAGCCAGTTAGAGAAGTGGCTGTCATGGGCCTGAGGTAGAGCTGCAGGTCTCAGTGCTGGAGCTATGGGAGCCTCGTGGAGGTAGTCAGCCATCTCTGTGTATGTCCCAGGCAAGCATGAGCAGCAAGCAGTGAGTATAGCTGGCGGAGACAGGCAGGGTTGTCTGTGTTGTGCTCTCTAGCACCCAGAAGGGTTTCTGTTAGAGACCACACTGAGCCCCAGGACACTAAGGATCACTACTGATTGTGTGCCCTACCTCTGTGGGGCCCATGAGGTTGCCCCACATTGTTACAGGAAGTCACGAAGCAGGCTTTCCCTTGTGGTATTTGTTTGGAAATACAGATCAAAGTAAGCTTCCTGGATTTAGAAAAAAAAAAAAAATGATTAGCCAACCATTTAGATTCAGTAAGAATTTCCAGACATCTGGTCTCAGCCATTTGTTCTAGCTGAAGTGAAACTTCTTGTTCCCTTCATGTTCTCTGTCACCTTGTGTCTTGGTCTGCTGGCATCCTCAGAGTTTTCCAGTGCTCCTTTCAAAAACCTCAAGACAGGATTCTCTCATGGATTCAGCCAGTGAATTCAGTCAGTGAAGGCGTGTTCCCCAAGGCAGTGACATTTTATACTTTTATTCCTGAGCAACATTTTGTTCTCTGAAGCTATAAAACTACTATTGTCATTGATGGCAGGAGTTGCCAAATTAGGGTACACACCAGAATTACTGGAGGAAATCTTAAAAATTCTAATTCCTTGGCTCTGCCCCAGAATGTCTGAGTAACTCAGTGGCTCAGGACCTGCTGCTCAGAGTCCACATGTGGGATTATGTAAAACACAGGTTCCTTCACAGGTGCGCTAAGCAAGGCCCCAGATGGTGTATGTATGAAGAACTGAGATTCTTCAGAGACACTTGGGGCTGTGGGTTTATGGACCGCACCTTGGGAAGCATGGTCTGTGAATCTGCATTTTTCATTCTGATGCTGCTCATTTAGGAGGTTCCTTGAAAAGTCAGATATAAATGTACAATGTCTAGCCCTAGGTATCTGACTGAGAGAGATAAAAATACATGCCCAAGCCAAGAAATGTACAGATGCTGATGGCAGTCTTGGTGCATAATGGCCCCAGACTGCAGTCTGTTAATCTCCTGGTGTGCAGATGAAAGATTTAATGTACACATACCCATATACAGGAGTGTTACTCAGCAGCAAAAGGGGATGTGGTACTTGTTTTATTTATTTATTTATTTATTTTAATGTTTTATTTATTTATTTATTTTTTCTGGTACCAGGAATCGAACTTACGACCTCACTCTTGCCAGGCAGGCACTGTGCCGCTGAGCTAAACCCCCAGCCCCTGGGATCTCCAGCCCATAACACTTGAAAGTGTTATGCTAAGATACAAAAGTCCAGTTATTGTATGATACTATTCATATGAAATGTCCAGAATAGAAAAATTTGTGGAGACAGAAAGTAGGTTGATCATTGCCTAGGGGCAGAGGTAATCCTACCTCAAGAAATTAATTGGTAATAAGTGTGAGGAATTTCATTCAATTGCTGAAAATGTTCTAAAACTGGATTATGTTGATAGTAGCACAATGTAGCAAGCTTACTAAAAATCTTTCAAGTATATACTTAAAATGGTATGTTACAGAGATAGGTGATTTATACCTTGGTAAAGTTTTTTAAAAAATTATATCAGAAAAGCAGATAAGCACAGAGTGACATGAGGGTTTCAGGGCTTCTTCTTAGGCCAAATTATGTCTGTTGCTTTCCTAGACCAATCTTACAAAAACCTCTGTATGTCAGTGACTGTATGTGGGGTCTACACAGCTTCCCAGAACTTCCCTCTGCCAAGGCAGTAATGGCTGTGGTGGTTGTCTTTCAGGAAAAACATGCAGAGGAACAAACAGGTAGCCATGGGCAGGAAGAAATTTAACATGGACCCAAAAAAGGTAAGCAGAAAAGAAATGGCAGAGGCCTATAGATTTTAAGATGGGGGTTTTCTGGTGTACAAATGGAACCCAGAGGTATTTCTCCCAAGCTGTTATATTGTCATATGGCAGAGCCTGGTTGAGTCAGGGGCCCTGGATTCTGTCCATGATGCCCCTGACCCTTTTATCCACTGCTGAATATTTACCAGATACTAACTCCATGTCCAGGGCACCCATGCTATTGCTACCTCTCCCCCTCCTTCCTGTTTATAGCTGCTACAGGCAGCTGGCATGACAGGCTTTTTTGGTCTTTCTCCAGGGCATCCAGTTCTTAATAGAGAATGACCTGCTGAAGAACACCTGTGAAGACATTGCCCAGTTCCTATACAAGGGGGAAGGGCTCAACAAAACAGCCATTGGTGACTACCTAGGGGAGAGGTGAGGCCTTGACACACAAGCTCCTACATACCCCAAATCCTAGGGAACATTGCTGTCTATACTGGCGTTGAGCAGTAGTGTTCTGGAGGTGGGGGGACCTTTTGTGTTTAGCCAGTAAACAGTAAGCTGGCTACCCTCCTGAATGTGAGTAGTTGGGCCCAGAGGCCATGTGATGCTGGGACTCAGTTCGGGGACCCTACCTGGAGGGGCATGGGTGCTTAGCATCAGTGTCTGATTTCTGCTTCCTCCTTTCTCCTTCTGTTCCTGATAGAGATGAGTTTAACATCCAGGTCCTACATGCCTTTGTGGAGCTGCATGAGTTCACGGATCTGAACCTCGTCCAGGCCTTGCGGTATGTATTCCCAGGGGCACCTTGGAGAGAGGCAGGCCTGTGACCCGGGGTCCATCCCATGGGCCATTGGACTGAAGTTGCATCTTGGGGATGATTGTGAATGTCTCAGAACATTTTGAAGGGAGGCAGTCTCCTGGCCTGAAAGTGAAAGACAGGGGACTAAATGGTGCTACATTCTGTAAGGTGGATGCTGTGAAGTCTTCCTCCAGGTTTGTACTTTGGGGTTTAGGAAACTAGTGAACACTGACATTTTGAAATCTTTCCTATACTCTTCAATTTTCAAACCCCTTAATTTCTTGTCCTAGAATAGGTAGTTGTGTGTTTTATTTTTGAAGGAAAAAAATAAACTTTAATTTTTTACTAAATTAATGCTTTTTGAGACATTGTCCTCCTATATTTTCACTGCTGCTGGTATGAATGACATTGTTACCTTTTGTGTTGTCATTTGAAGACAAAGCAGGGCCCTGCTGGCCATGGGGTCTTCTCTGACTTGCAGGGATCAATTGTGACTGCTTTACCTGCCACCCTATGTTGTGTGGGTATAAAATCCATTTTTCTGTATTTCAGTGGTGTTATCCTGGGGAGGAGAACTATTTTTTGAAAGAGAAAAACACTAATTTCTCACTTTTTTTTTTTTTAAAGAGTAAAAGAAGGATAACATAGTAATAGGGGGGCTTACCAAATTACAGACAAAGTGGTAGGAAATTATCAATATTTTACCTATTGGTATCTTCAAGATAGTTTCTCAGGAAAACAAATAGACAATAATAGTGAGTTACAGACAAAAGTGGTAGGAAATTATCAGTGGTTGTTGTATTATACTTTGGTATCTTCAAAGTGGTTTCTAGAGAAAACAAATAGAGCTATCCATGAGCAATCAATTAAATAATCATTGACTATTCTCAATGGTTGTAGTTTGAAACACATAGTAATAAACATACATCCATTTACAAAATAGCGTAGGAACAATACAAACATTGCAGAGTTATGGACAGGTTGGTAGGAAGTTATCAATGGCTGCTGTAATACATGTATCTTCAAAGTGGTTTCTCAGGAAAACAGAGATATGGAAGAAAGATCTAACAAGTAGTTACAGCCTAAGGGTTGTGAAAAATATACATTACCTCCTCACCAATGACTCCTTTCACTGAGGTGTGACGGCTGGAAGGAAGGCCAGGATTGAAAAGAAGGACCAAGAGACTAGTACCAGTGTCCAGCAATAGGCTGTTTACTTTTTCCTCTATGGTCATGATTACCCGGGGCTTCTCCATGGAGATGATGGTCTGGCCAGAGGGAGAAGGCAGAGTATGCCCTGAGCCCCTTCATTCCTGTTGGACCAGCTGGTAGGAGGGGTCTAGCTCTGGGGCCTTTGCTTCAGAGGGGAGTCCAACCTCTAGTGTTCACCTTTACAGTCAGGGCATAGCCCAGGGGACTTCTTAAGGCAGTCCCTCTTGAGGTGGCCTGGCTTTTGACAGCAGTAGCAGATGAATGTAGTCATCAAGTTCTTCTTGGGGCCCTGAGAGTCAGACTTAGGGTCTGTTTCTCTTAGTGCTGCAGCAAAGGCAGGTGCTTTTTCTCAGTCTCTTTGTTTTCTCTCCTTGGCCGCCTCCTCCTCACGGCTATAAAATACCGAGGAGGCAATTCTTACTAACATGTCAAGTGAGCTATATGGGGCAAAAGCCATTTTTTGTAGCTTTTTTCTACTATCTAGGACTGACTGAGCAATAAACTTACCTTTAAGAATAATTTTTCCCTCTACTGAACTGGGATCCAGGGAAGTATGCTTTATCAATGCCTCTTGTAAGCAATCTAAGAAAGCAGAGGGGTGTTCCCTTTTTTTGGAGGGGGAGGCCTCCATCTCAGCAGTAAACAGAGCACCCACGCCAGTCATCTCTCCAGCCTCCCAACACATTGGGACCCCGCAACCACTTAGTGTCCTCTCCCCAACCATCAACACAGTTGGCAGGAATATGTGGATGAAGTCCTTGGCCTGCTAGTCAGTCTCAGCACCATCAGGTGCAAAGTGTCCCAGGCAGGTAACCTAGACATGTACCTTCTCCATGAAGGTGGTTCTTCAGAACCTGAATATTAGGTACCAATGTAATCCATGAAGTATTGGTGCAGACCTCTCTGGAGCTCGACGTGCTCCTCCACCACAGTCTGTACAGTCAAGGGGAGAATGGCTTCCAGGGAGTCTCCCCAGATATTGGGCAAGGTCCTCCTGGTTTCCAGCTCCCGTATGGCTCTTGCATCCCCAGTCAGCTCGACCTCTGCGTTGTCAGGTGTTGTCTGTTTTCTGGTGTTCTCTAAGTCCTTGTTCAGCAGCTGCTCCTCTGCTGACTCCGGACCTTTCTGGTTCTCAAGGGCAGGGCCAAGAGCAACCCGTTGTGCGGCATGTTTTCCCATGGGTTTCTCCATGTCAGGATGGTTCACACATGTCCCTTGGCAGGCCTCCACAGCTGGCACAGGGCAGGCTGATTGTGTTGGTGCTTCTCTGTGGTGTGATAGTTCTTGACCACATGGTGGCGGCCAGCCTGAGAGCCGGCACACATTGCTGCGCCCCTTCCCAGACACCTGCTGTCTACTACCCGGGCGCCTGCACAGTCGGGCAATTTCTCACTTTTTGTAAGTACTTTCCCTTCAGTTAAAGTAATGGCAACATGAACTGGTATTCATATGCTCAGTGTTACTGTTACAGAAGGCTGAGGCCCCGCACATCTCCCTGTACCTTCTGATACTGAACATCATTGACAGTTTAGCAGTTCATAGATAAACTGTCTGCACAAGTTCTGGTCTTTTTTTTTTTTTTTTGTAAGGCACTCAGGCACTGCACCGCTGAGCTATATCCCCGGCCACAAGTTCTGAACTCAACCTGTCCTCTCCCTCAGGCAGTTCCTGTGGAGCTTCCGGCTCCCTGGGGAGGCGCAGAAGATTGACAGGATGATGGAGGCCTTTGCCCAGCGGTACTGCCAGTGCAACAGTGGGGTGTTCCAGTCCACCGGTGAGTGAGGCAATCCTCCTGGCTCAACACAAGAGAGCTTTTCCCACCAGGTTCTTTTCTTGGCATTGGATAATCTCTAATACAAAAGACCTCGAATTCATTCCTAGGAACTTTTATTTAATGTTATTTATGATAGTACAACATTGGAAGTAACCAGAAGCCTAACATTAAGGCACTAAGAATATAAATAGTGGTTCCTCTGAACCATGATACACATAATGATTAAAAATCATGTTTTTAGAAGCTGAGCGTGGGGGAATGTATGCCTGTAATTGCAGGTACACAGGAGGCTGACGCAGGAGGATCACAGATCAAGGCCAGCCTGGGCAGCATAGTAAGACCTCATTTTTTAAAAATGCTATTTTAGGCTGGATGTGGTGCCACACACCTGTAATCCCAGCACTCAGGAGGCTGAGGCCTCGAGCCCTACTGCGAGTTCAAGGCCAGCCTGGGACACATAGTGAATTTAAGGCCAGCCTGAACTATATGATGAGATTCTTTCTCAACCCTCCCAATTATATAGTATTTTTATTGGGATGGGAAAATAGCAAGATTAGCAAATAAGTGTGTATGCACATGTGTGTGTGTGTGTGTACACAGATATTCCTTGTAAGTCCTTGTACTTACAACCAAGGCATGCTGTTTGGATATATGATGCATCTTTTTTTTTTTTTTTTTTGTACAGTTCTCTACATCTTGTTTGTAGAGCTTCAATTTCTTCTTTTTATACAGTGTACTTTGTTAATATAGTACTATAATTTTGCTGATTGTACTATATAGTACAGTACTATAGTTTAATGTTCTCTCATACATTACAGTACTGCATGTAAGAATTATACAAATAAAAGTAAAATCGTCAAGTTGGAGCTTCCTTTGACCATTTCTTTGTTCTAATTATTGTAATGTGCATACTATGTATAGTTCTTCATTTAGCAACCAATTCACTTAACAACCTAGTCTCAGGAACTGAACTTGGTCATTAAACGAAGAGTGTCTGTATCTATATCTGTATATATCAATGTCTGTCTGATTCAAATTACATATGTATGCTGGGTGTGGTGGCACATGCCTGTAATTACAGGCACACACCTGTAATCCCAGCACCCGGGAGGCTGAGGCAGGAGGATCATTGCGAGTTCAAGGCAAACCTGGGCTACATGAGTGAGTTTAAGGCCACTGAACTGCATAGTGAGACCCTGTCTCAAAAAGACAAAAAATAAATAAATTACATATCTGTGAGATAACATTTGTGATATGTTACATAAAGTTACATTGATATAAAGGAAATGAAGCAAAATAACTTTTTATAAGTAGTGATATTATAGGTAATTTATGTACTTTTTTATACTTTGTGTTGTTTTTCAAATTTCCCACAGTGTACATGTTATTTGGTTCATGTACTTCCACACACCCTTCCTTCCCTTTTCAGATAGGGCATGCCTGGGAGCATGTGTCCACATGCAGAGCCTGTCCTACACTTCCGGAACATGACTTTTTATGACCCCATCAGGCATTTCCCATCCCTCTGGAGAGGGATTTCTAATTACCCTCTGCCTTTCTCTTGTCTCCAGATACTTGCTACGTCCTCTCCTTTGCCATCATCATGTTGAACACCAGCCTGCACAACCCCAATGTCAAAGACAAGCCCACTGTGGAGCGGTTCATTGGCATGAATCGCGGCATCAATGATGGGGGTGACCTGCCTGAGGAGCTGCTCCGGGTAAGCAGGGCCTGAGTGGCTTCCTTTCAGTGGAGAAAGAATTCACTTGGAACAGGATTGTTTTTGTAGGAAAGGAGAAAGATGTTGAGTGCCTCCACTCTTAACTCACTTAATTACATGAGTTTCACTAAGTTGGTAGGTAGTAAGGCCAAGAAAAGGGAAAGTCATTTGTAAATCTCTAAAGGCTTGAGCAGAAGTCAAACTGTTTTCTTTTCTTTTTTAATTATTCAGTATGCCTGTTACTTACCTTGCCCTATGAACTGCCAAAAAGCGAAAGCAGTCATCTTCTTCCTCTAGTCTTGAGCCCTGTGGGGCACATGGTTTACGGTAGGGTTAGAGTGAGTACACACGGAGTAAGTGGAGAGAGAGGGAGGAGAAAAGTTACTTCTAGAATCAGAGCCATGCGATGTTATCTTTTACCTCAGAATCTGTATGAGAGCATAAAAAATGAGCCCTTTAAGATCCCAGAAGATGATGGGAATGATCTCACTCATACTTTCTTCAATCCTGACCGAGAAGGCTGGCTGCTCAAACTGGGTAAGTCACACCCCTGGATTGGAGCACCTACAGGAAAACTCAGGAAGGAAGGCTGTGTGTGTACACACCCATAGTATGCAGGAGGGGTGGGTGAGAAGCCCTGGAGAGAGTCTGCTCCAACAAAGGTCCACCTCCAAGAGGAAGTGATTTGCATGGCCAGCACCTCATGGGGCAAGACCAGCAGGGCCAGACTTCCCCCCCATGAACACTGCCCATGTGTGCCTGGGCCCTGTGTGTCTGTTCTTAAATCCATGGCCAGGTTCTTTCAGGTGGTTTCCCCAAGGACCTGGGAGGGTGGCCAGCCATGTCCGTCTTCCTACTTCCCATCCCAGATTTGTACCTGGCACTCCTGCCCCACTCCGTACATCATCACCTCCTTCTGCATCTGGCTCCCACAGGCAGTCTGCATGGCAAATCTAGAGCCCTTGGCTGCAGCTCAATCCACAGCACTCTTACTCATTCTCCGGGCAGTGGTTCCCCACCCTTTCCAATCCAAATCAGCCACATTAATGATTTCGTTCATTCAGAAGAGTTGAGAATGTATTCCTCTTCCTTTGCCCAGTGTGAGTTTATATTGCCTAGATTGATGTTTCTGCCTTGCCATGAAGGTGACTGAGTCACCAAACTGAAAAAGAAAGGGAGAAAATTAGTAAGGTTTTCAAGCACATTCATGTCCACATATGATTATTATTTCAGCACATAGAGAGACCTCTGGACTCTCTGGACGTGGTGATATCCATTTTTTGGCCACTAAAGAGCAACTTTCCTATGTTTTCTCCTGCCTTTGCCTTTGATGAGCTGGAGTGCCATGTGAGCAGAGGGTGTCCCTTTAGAGACCCTCCTTTCTCATCTTGGTTACTTGCCCAGCATTACCGGTCATTACCCTCTTGGCCATGACTAAAACATCTGGGAAGGCTAGAACAGACTCTCTTATTACTGACTAGTGCGGATGGCAAACGATTTGCATTTCCTTTGAAAAACTCAAGTGCTTGTGTTTATAGATAATGACTTAATTCATAAATTCTCCTTAAAGTACCACTTCACTGATCAGTGCCTTATATATCTTGTAAATCACCCAACATTTCATAGACCTTTAAGCCAGTAGAATCTTTGAAGTTAAGGCTCTAAAATTACTAACCCCACTGGCAACCTTCTGTTATGCATTCTTGTTGCCAAGTGGATAGAGTTAAAATGTACAAAATTTTAGAAGTGTATCCAAGTTTGGATTTACTTCCCCCTCCAGCAAAATTTGTTTAAATGCTAATGCTAAGTGTTAGCTTTGACAGCTCGGATACTAAAATTAGAACAGGCAAAGATTATCTTGGTTCTTATACCAGGATAACATACAAATTCATGAGATATCACATATTTTTAAAAAGAAAAATATTAAGCCAGGAATCACAGTGTGCTCCTGTCGTTCTAGCTACTTGGGAGGCTGAAACAGTAGGATCCTTCAAGCCCAGGAATTTAAGGCCAGCCTGGGATGCATAGAGAACATATCCCCCAAAAAAATGATTTTTAAAAACTAAATGTAGGACTCATTTTTGGGTTATTGCATTACTTTTTCTAAACCTTCACCAAGCCCTTCACCAAATTCTTTAGTACTTTGTTTTCATTGTAGCACACTTGGAATCACTCCTGTGTGTTTATGTGCTGCAGAAGGCAGGACTTCAGCCATCTGTACTGTGTGTAGATGTTTGTTTATGCATACAGCCATTAGCATGTGTATTCCTGTGTGTACACATATGTACATGTATAGTCATGGATATATATGTGTGCATTCTTGCACACACACTAAAAGTGATAGCCATGTAAAGAAAGTCAATAAAATTTCCCTGAAGTAATGTTTCCCGCTTTGTTCTGTATTCTGGATAAACCTCAGCTTTATGAAAACATTTATGGCCTCATTGGAGCTGGGTTCAATAGTGCTTCCAATTTCATCTTCCCCAGGTGGGAGGAGCCTGTAAGATGAGCTCACCACTGGCCCAGTCCAGTTCCTCCACAGGCAGACATGAATGTGACTGATACATTGCACTTTAAGATGAAGGAATTGGCTTTAATTTCTTTGTTTTAATTTTCTTTTCTCCCTCATTTGTATGTTTCCATGATTTTGGCTCTCCTTTTCCTTGCCCCAAACTCCAGGAGGTATGTAACCCCGCAACCTGCTCGCTCGCTCTGCCCAGGCCACTGTCATTGCTGCAGTGTTTTCTTATTTTGTTATTTTTGGTTATTTTGTTTTTTAATTGCTGGTGGTAGTGTTAACGCTGCTTCTAACTTACTGTACAGTCCCTAGGGAACTTGCCAGGATCAAGGGTTTGGAGCACTGTCTATGTTCTTCCTTCCTGGAGGAGAATATATTGGAACGGACAGCTAGGTACCAAGAAGCAGACTAGCCTTGCTGCACATGGCTTTGCAGGGACGCATGCTTAGAGCGGGTCTAATGCAGAGAAGGGACCTGCTGCATTCTCTTGGAGGGAGTGGCCAGGCACCTGCTGTTCACTGAATTCAAACTGACATTCATGAATCAACCTCATGGGAAGTAGTTTCTGAAGTGAGGCAGAAGAGAAAGAAGAGACTGAAACCCTGACTTTCCAAAGCTAGGTGCCTCTGACACCATGATTGAGAATCAAATTAAGAAAAGCTTAAATGACAGTTCGGACAGCTGCCTTTGTATGAAGAAGGGAAATGGTATTTCCCAAATTGGAAATGATGCCAAGTGAAGTTTAAAGAACCTCAAAACTGGAAACTCTACCTGCAGTCTTTGATTCAGTTGCCTAGCTGTCAGGGGGAGGGCCTCACAGCCTCAGGTTTTGAGTTTGTTTTCTTTTGTTTTTCATCCCCCTTTTTTTCAATGAGTCTTTTCCTTAAAATCTGAAATCGGCCTCTTAGTTACGTTGTTGGCGTCTACTCTCTGCTGACTTGGGGGAGCCAGAGAACTCCTCAGGTTTGTGCTTAGGCATGCCTACAGCAGAGATGCACCTAAAAAGAACCACCCCAAACACTTGCATTTACTCAAATGTTTTGGGGACTTGCCAGGTTGTTTTCAACTGCTGGGAAAACAGCTTTTGACTCTCATAGCAAGGGGGTCATGGGCAGGCATGAGGAGCCAGCAGGGGGAGGGGTCCTGTGAGTTCCACAGGGACTGTCCTAGCTGCACAGCTATCTGTCTGCTTGTCCCATGTCTGTTTTTCTTCCCATGTGGAAATGTTTCCCGTGGGCTCGCAGCAGTGCTTCATGTAGAGAGCTCTGTGACACAGCAAATTGTCCAGGGGAGGTGACTAAGCTTTTATAAATCAGAGAGCTTTTCCTAGCTGTGCTTTTTCTCCCTGATTTCCTTCCATCTTGTTCTTTTTGGCATCTGGCCCACTTTTCCCATGATCTCCTGAGTTCTAGTGTCCGCTGGGGTAGTATCCTGTGATGTGCTTGGGAGGGTCAGCATGGGTTGGTGGCCATGGTATGCCCAACCCTAAGAGGGGAACCATCCACCTGCAGGGCTGGGAGACCTAAGGTCTCAGACTGCAGTGTGGGAGGGAATTCCTCTTTAAGAACATATTGGCTCCAGTTCTGAACACATTTCCTGCCTTTTTTCTCCTCCTCATTCATTTTAATTCTGCCTAGCCTTTCCTGTTGTCCACATGCATGTCCTTATCATTTAGGGTTTTTTTCTTTTTTAAACTCCTGCCACTTGACCTTTGGGCTGCTTATGTAAAACTTATAAATCATGGTGAGGAAGAGAGTCACTGCCTGACCTCCACGCAAGTCAGGCAGCAGCTGGTATGCGCTTACTGGGGCTCACGCCCCTGGAGCCTAAGTCTGTCCTCTAGATCCTTTGCAGTTAATGGTTCCTCTCTAAAACCCCTTTCCTGGAACTGAGGTACCCAAGCAGAGCCGCGATGTGGGGAGGAAAGTCCATGTCTTGTGCTCTTTTACAGGATATTCTTCCCATGCTGTTGCTTGCACACTCCTCCTGGGTTTCTCGGGAGAACCTGCAGGTCTTGGCATTGGGAAATAGTCCCTGTGAAACTGCCCTGCTCTTTGCTGGGGTGTTTGTGAGGAGGGAGAAGGGCATGAGATGGGCCCTGCAAGACTCCCACTCCCGGAGGAGGAGGAGGAGGAGGAGGAGGTGTTCTCTGTAGGTGAGGTGTGAGCAGAAGGGCAGGTGCTAGAAAGAGCAGGTATGGTGTGTTTTGGAATGCCTTGCATATTTTGACACAGGAAGGAATAGGGATAATTTCATATGGTTTTTGTCAAGAAAGTTTCCTCTTGACCTGAGGTAAGTGGAGGAAAAGAGGAGCTCCTGGTCATGACCTGAGAGAGGGTGTGGCTTCATCCAAATTGGGCAGATTTAGTGTTCAGCCTAGCTTCACTTCATGGTTCGCACATTTTGCTTACTGAAGAATGTTAAAGGACTAAGGGAAGCCATTGCAGCCGCCATTCAATGCTCATCTGCCCAGGACCACCTCTTCTAGCTGTTTTTGTTGTAAGTGTCCAAAAAAGACCCTGGAATTGCAAAGCTCCTGAGCTGAGTTCTCCACACAAGCCACTTCTTTCCTGATGGAGGAGTCCTGCTTTGATTCTCACCAAGGTTCTGGGGAGATTTTATTTTCAGGACGCAAGCTTAGAGGGCTAAGACCAGTGTAGAAATTTCCTACAGCCCAGAAGCTAGGTCAAGGGATAAAGCTGCAGCAGTTTGGTTCCATGGCCCAGGAAAGCTGGATGTGATTGTGAGGAGATCACAATGCTTCACTTCCTGTTCCTGCCCTCTAGTCATTTCCACGGCACCTCCTTGGGTGCCCAGGTGATTGTCAGGAGCAGCGTAGCCTGCACCAAGGTGCTGATCCTTACCCCTTCCTCTTTTCTTTGCCCATTTCTGCCATACATGGCTTTGGTTGGCTTCTGTAGCCCAAGGCACATTTATGTTGCCTGTCATTATTCCCCTGGGTTTCCTCCCCATCCATGCACTCCTCTTGCTGTCCAATTTCATCTTGGGGTGTCACCTGGACACGCTTGCTCTGCTCATACCATAGACTCTCACTCAGAAAGATGCTTCTGTCTTGGCTGTGTCTTGTCACTGATGCAAACTGCCATGGTCTAAATGTTCTCCCAACACCCTCCTTTTCCCCTTTTCCTCCTCCCCAATAAGAGAGCTGTGTGTGTGGTGGAATCTGTGCTTGCCTGAGTGTTGTCCAAGTGCATCTCTTTTTGCACTGCAGGTGGCAGGGTAAAGACCTGGAAGAGACGCTGGTTCATTCTGACTGACAACTGCCTTTACTACTTTGAATACACCACGGTGAGCACCAGCATTGAGGTGGGATGGGCCAGGGCTGTTTCTAAACCACTCTAACCAAGCATGGCTAGAGGGATCCTTGGGGAGATGGTGGGATTTGTCCTTCTACCTCTTGGGCATAGGTTGGGGTGGATTTGGAGCAAATGGGAGAACTCAGGTAAGTTGCAGAATGTGAGCTCTAGCGAGGGTGTAGAGCGCCTAGCACAGAGCCATGGCTCACAGGCAGCACCTAGTTCCAGGTGGGGTGGGGATCACAAGGCCCAGAGAAATAAGAAAGACGATGTTAGGAGCCAATTCAGAGTTGGGCTAGCAAGAATGGACTTGGATCCATTGCTAAAAAGTTTGTGGCCTTATTGAAAGGGACATGAAAAAGAAAAAGAAAATAATCATGATTTGGAGAATTCACATTTTCTAAGTAGCGGAAATGTTGAAGGATTTAATTCACAAGAAGCCTCAAGGGGTAAAATATGTAATAGAGGAAAAAGAAGTGAAGTGAAATGGGAAAAGTTAATTTGAGATTTCTTGGAGTTTTAAGAAGGTGAAGTTTTCTCAAACAGTGGTAGTTCTGTTAGTTTTTAGTCAGTACCAAAAGACTTAACTACAAGAGTGTGTGATGTATGCATCCCTTTTATAACAATAGCCTCTGAGAGTAAAAATTAGAAATAAAACTTTTCAGAGTCCCTTGTAAGCAGAGTACCCAGAAATCCCAGTAGGTTAGCAGTTGGTGCCCAGGCTTTCACGTGCAGGTGACTCGATGTGCTTCAGTGTCTGCCACCCTTTTGGTCACAGAGGAGTACACTGGTTGTATTGCTAGCAGTGCTGGACTTGGGTCTTGATATTAACCAAGGCAGCTGAGTTGGGAATGCTTGACTTTTTCTCCACCCACATCGTCACTGACCTGACCAAGGTTGTCTGTCCCACTGAGGAAGTTAAAGATTTAGATTTCTCTTTTGTAATAAAAGTAGAGCATGAGAGTACTTGAGTAAAAAAATAAAACCCCTAGCCTGCCTGTGGGCTCCAGTTTTGCCTTGGTGTTTGCTGCCCTGAGGAAAAGAAAGGGGTCTTCCTGTGTTCAGCACTCTGTGCTGTTCTTCATCCCTATGGAGGTCAAACGAACATGACCCCTCACAGAAGAAAGAGCTGCATGCAGCATCAGGTTGCACTTCACAGTCTGTCATTCTGATGGTGACAGTGAATGATTTTAATGGCATTTCTGACCAAGATATTGTGTGTTGAAGGGGCTAGAGTCATGCCACCGAAGTTCTGCAACTGTCTCTGCTTTTCTTCTGTATTTAAGATATTTTCAAGTAGTAGGATAATTCAAGTATTTCAAGTAGTAGAGTAATTCTTCAAATGTATAGAATAATAAGGATTCTTCCTGTTGTACCCCCAAGGCCCGCTGTGAACAAACAGTGTGGTAAATTAGTCTACCCTAATTGCTTGCCTTCACATCTTGCTTGGAGTTTTTTCTCTGCTGTCTGATTCAGGCATCTAGGCAGGGCACTTCTATCTGCTGGCTGACTCTAGTGAAGCTGAGCGGTTTGGGTGAGTCTGTGTTCCTCCCAGGGCTGGTGTGGTGACAGCGCCTCCAGGCAGTGCAGCAGCATCTGTTCAGCCCAGTGACAGGTGGTAGGGCAGGGACTAAAAGGTGTCAGGCTAAAGGTGGTAGATTGAAACTTCCACACAGAATTACTTAATCTGGACAGCAATAAATTAGTAATACATAGGGAAAAGTAGTGACCAGACAAGGAAAGGACATGGCTGGGTCAGTGGGAAGACAGTGACAGCTTGAAGGAACAGAGAGGCCCCAGAGCTAGAACTTATGGCTGTTCCCTCGCTGATCCAGAGCAATAAAGTCTGCTACAGCTGGAAACTGGTAAAACAGGAAGTAAATAAACAGGCCTCATGTACTGTGATGGAGGCCAAGGCACATGACCATGTGTGCATCTGGGAAGCTGCAACACAAGGCCTTCTAATACGTGGAGCCAACACTACCTGCACATTCACAGTCCAGAGGAGAGCAGTGCTCAGGGAGCCTCAGATGAGCCCTCCCGCCACTTGCCATTTTCTGTGGCTCTGCAGAAAGTGCTAGAATCAAAACATGTGATCCTCTGCCAAGGGTCAGGCGAGTGCTTCCGCCATGGAGAGTAACAACATCAGTCACCTGGGAAGAGAATCTTGAGAATTACCAGGACAGGGCTGGAAAGGCAGAACAGGGAGGCTTCAGACTTCAAACATGGAGAGCCAAGCCTATCCATTTCTAATATAACTGTGCAGCTACAGAATTGCAGCTTACTAGTTTAATAACAATAGATTAAAACTTTTAAAGCGTGGAGCACATTAGCTGAAAATATTGTCACTGTCCTAGAAGGAAAGCTTTAGCCAGTCACACAGTTCCAATGGTCATTAACCAGGTAGGTCATTAAATGAAGAGTATCTGTACCAAAATAGGCACCTGCAAAATCAAACGTGATAAGTCAATGAGATTATTTCTCTGAAAAGGAAAGAAAACCAAAAAACAATCCTGCAAGTCAAGTGTACTGTGCTTCAGGAAAATCAGCCACCTATTCAGGTGGCTCCTTAGTGAGGCTTGGCCCAGGGTCAACCTGCTAAATATGCACCAAGGTCCCTGGCACTTTAGCTGGAAAAGCAGAGCATCTCAGCAGCCTTCAGTGCCTGAGGGTAGTGGGTCAGGGTCTGCAGATCCACAGGGAAGAGTGACTGTCTAACCATGTTAACCATTAAAAAACAAAGCTCATCCAGCAGCATTATCAAATAGAAGAAAACAAGGGAAATGCACACTGCATATCCTTCTTGTAAAAGACTGCTTGTCAGTGAAAAGCCAACCAGGAAGAGAGTGATCAGAGGAAAAGCTCTAGGAAGTATAAGAGTGATGGCCAGCATTAAATTCATTCATTCACTTAAATGTAGAATAGATGCCTTTGTAGCCTCAAATCAGAACTGAAGCCAAATGTCCTGACATTCAGGTGGATGTTGATACTACGTATGGTGCAATACAGAGCTAATACCAGATTATTCTGAAATACAGAAATGTGCTTAAATATAGGACTAATGCTCAAATATATTCAATAGAACTGATACTAAAATATGCTCAGATATACAACTGATACTTAAATATAAAAGTTAGTACCAAATATACCTAATTAGAACTGATGCCAAAATACACTGAAATGTAGAACTAACTCAATTAACTGTTGCCTTAAAAATCAGCAATTTAGGGGCTGGGGATTTAGCTCAGCGGCAAAGCGCCTGCCTGGCAAGCGCAAGGT